TTGTGTGTATTACTCAGGAAATCAAGCCTTCTTTGCTAATCTTCCACATTTTTCATCTAAATATGGTTGTTATCTTACAGTTACCATATTCACTTCATTTAGTCTTATTTTTACAGTGTCTTATCTTTTAATTGAATTATATGGTTTCTTCAATCCAGAAGATGCCCAAACAGGTGTAGTAAAGAATTTAAGTTATTACTATGATAAACTTACTTCTTTCTTCTCTTTCTTACCAATGTTATCTGACTCTTTACTCTCATTAATTCATGGAGTTTTCTTCTCAAGTATTATTGGTGTATTTAATATCTTTTCTTTAATTATTCTTATTGTTGCTGTTTCTGGATCTGGATTTGATGACGCTAATAATTTGCATGTAGTTTCTAAATCACTGTGCAGTGGATTTTTCATTTATCTCATTGGTAGTATTCTTATTGTTGGAGGAATTATTGGAAGCACTTTAGCTCGTTTCTTTTCAGGAAGAATTGAAGAAAGCCAAATCCAAATAGAGCCAAACCCAGCTTTTGATGTACCAGCAGAACAATAAAACACAAGGAAAAGGTTAGTTAATTTTTAAAACAGGTTTTAATTAAAGTAAAACTATATTTTCTTTTTTTTTTTGAAGAACTCTTGTATTTTTCTGTTCTCTCTTCAATAATATGAATAAGAAGAAAGAAAAACAATTCCAACAGGACCTTGCTCATCTTGAGGCTGAATTATTTGAAATTCAAACACTCCTCAATCAACATCAAGCAAAATTAGATTTAATGCCATTTCCACAACAAGACTATAGGGTTCGTAGGGGGCTGTTTATTGGTAAAAGAAGTTCAAGTATTACTTCAGAATCACCTCCAATTATCAACTAATTTCATTTATTTAATGTTATGTATATCAATATTTATATTTAAAAAAATAAAATGTTTTATATAACATAAAAATAAATTATTATAATTTTTTATTCATTGTAACAGCTGGAATACCATTAAAATCAGTTATTTCACCAGTAAGATAAAACCCGACCTTTAAGTACATTCTATGAATATATTCTAGAGCGTCTAGTGTAACTAACTTTCCATTAAAACATTCTTTAATTTGATCACAAGTAAAATTGATTAATTTTTGTCCCATACCTTGTCCTCTTGCCCTTTTATGAACTAGAACACGAGCAATTCTATATAAATTTTCACCTTCTTGAATAACTCTGCAATAAGCAAGTAATCCTTCTTCTCCCCATGAAAAAGAATGATAACAATATTCATCAATTTCATCCATTGGAGGATGGCCAAGATCTTGTTCTCCACCTGAAGCAAAGACTTCACCTCTCATGTCATAAATTTGTTGATACTCTTCTTCATTAAATTGATTAAGTAATTTAAAATTCCATTGGACACTCATGTTTATTGTTTAATGATCAATGAGATGAGACTCAATCTTTAAATACTCTATGTTCTATAAATAAATTTGATATAAATATTTTTTTGCTTTAGATTCTTAATAAAGCTCTTTTATTCAGTCTCAATCGTTCAATCACAACAATGATAGAATATTCTTTTTAAATTGATAGATGCTTCTTCTGTTTTGTATTTTTATGATTTGTTCCATTTTTAACTATTCTAATATACTAAATTCATATTAAATTTTAGGTATTTGAAACGTATTATAGGATAAGACAAAATTATTTTCTTAATACTTTTAAAGACGTTTTTAAAAATATTATTTTAATTTTAAAGGTCTTTATTATATTTATTCTATCACTTTTTTTAGTTTCTTTAAAAAATGTTATATATAACTAAATATTCTATTAGCAGATGTCGAATTGATGTTGAAGCAAAAACTCTTTACATGAATCGAAGGTATAAGTTGGGTTTGATATTTGGTACTCAATCAAAGCGTTAATTGCTGTTGATACCCATTTTCCTTTTTTTGTTTGATACAATTGTGTAATTTGATTACCATTTATAGCAGGAGTAATTAACCAGATGTTATCCAATTGGAATTGATAAATTAAGTCAAAGTGATGTTGAACAGTTTGGAGTAAAGTTGGTTCTATTTGAATTTTAAAATAAATATTTGGGTAGCTAGGAATTGTAAAATGAGAATTGAGACAACAGTATAATATAATAGATGCTTTCCACATTTCTTTACTTTTTAACATTGACCTTCCATAATATAATCTTTCACATTTACAGTTATGTTGATTTAATAAATTAACTCCTTCAATAATATTATCTACTTTCTCTCTTTCTTTTGATGTAAACTTAAGACCTTCTATAATGATATTTGGAATCATTGGCAACTCTTTCTTTTTAAAGAAAAATGTATCGTTTTTGAATGAGTAACAAAGTGCAGTTAATAGTAAGTGTTTAAGCATATCTGTATCATCTTTAACTTGACTGATTGAATTAAATACTTCTTCACAACAATACATTAAAGGAATACTATTAGATTGAACTATTTCCCAATTGCATTCAGTGCTTTCTTCTGTTATTAAAACTTCTTTTAATAAATGGCAATATTGAAATACATGAAATCCATATGAAGGATGTGAAGATATTAAAATATTATTTAACTCTGGTGTTCTTCTACTTTTTTTAATTTTATTCATCCCTCTTAATACTGTTGGACTGGTCATAGCATTTAATGTATTGTCTTCTATCTTAAAACCATATTTTGCAGAAAACCTAATCCCTCTAAAGACTCTTAATGGGTCATCAGTGAAAGACTGTAATGGATCTATTGGTGTTCGAATTAGTTTATTCAATAAGTCTTCATACCCACTTGTGTAATCTTCAATCACCCCATCTTCAATACGATAAAACAAACAATTAATAGTAAAATCCCTTCTAATGCAATCTTCGTAAATACTTCCTTTTCTAATTTCTGGTATTCTACTATTATCTTTGTATTCTTCTGCTCTAGGACTTCCAAAATCAATTGGTAACTCACAAATAGTAGCAGTCGCAGTTTGTAAATGTTCTGTTTGTTCTCTATTTGTAAGTAACTTTGTGTTAATTCCTTGTGATTGAAGGTATTTAGTAACGTATTGAGCAAATTGGACACCACTTATTCCTTCAGAAGTAATATCAATGTCGTGACTATTTTTCTTAAGTATTTTATCTCTAACCCATCCACCGACAACTCTGACTGTACAATTTAAATTGAAATATTGTTTAGTATTATTTAATACTTTGAAAATGTTAATTTCTTGTTGAGTTAATTCAATCGGAATGTTATATATTTTACACTCACGTTCCATATATGTTATTTTATTTCAAAGATAAGATTCATTTCTATTAATATAAAAAATTTTATTTTTGAAAAGAAAAATAAAAAGAAGAAATGAAAATCATTTATTGTGCTGTTTCATTTGGACCTTTCATTTCAAGTTTCTTTCCTGTGATTGTGGTATACATCTCAAGACAATCTTCGACTGTAGTTTCAAAATGAGATGTAGCATCATATGATTTAGTAATATAAACTCCATCTTGTTTTGGATCATTAATTGGTTCAAATGAATCCGTGATAGAAATAAATTGTTGTTCAATAGGTTGTAATAATTTTAATCCTACTTCAACTTCTTTTTCTGGATTACTAGTTTCAACTGTTGTACCAACAATAGCAATATACTTTCCTTTTGGACAAACTTGGTTATTACCTGATAATACTGAAATATAAATATCTGATTTTCTTCCAACTTGTTTTTGTGGCATTATAATTTGACATGATTCAGCATTGTCTGTGTTAGCAACTGGATGATTTAAAATACAAATAGCACGAATAACTTGTCCAACTTTCTTAACTTTATCTGGGAAGTAAGATGGATCTGCAATGATATTAGAACATTTAGCAACTTCTCCACTTTCAAATTTAACTCCTGCAACTCTTCCATTTTCAAAAACAATTTCTTGAATCTTAGCTCTTAACATATAAGTTCCTCCATAAAGAGCAGACATACGTGCAAATGCTTGAGGAAGTTCACCAAGTCCATATTCTGGATAAATGTATGGTGATTTTTGGAATCTTGAAAGTGATTCAAAGTATAATACTATCTTCTTAACTGTTTCAATAGCTGGTCTTGTAAGATAACTATCTTCTCTATAAAGAGCAATTGTATGTCCAACAAATTCAATTGTAGCATCATCAAGACTGAAATCTTTAAATAACTGTGCCATAGTCATACTTTTAAGGTTTCTTCCTTTATGTGTTTCTGGTTTGTTTTCATCATAGTTTTGAAGATAAGTTAAGAAGTTCTTAAATCTATTCTTTTCAAAGAATCCTAATAATGGAGTAGAAACAGTTTCTGCAACTGTGGCTGGAATTTTATAAACCTTTCCCTTAGTAAAGACATATGAACCATGAATAGCTCTGAATTGTAAATAATTATGAACATTACAATGAAGAAGAAGATTAACCATTTCTCCTGAACTCATAATGAATTTTGGAATAATATCAACGTTATAATCTCTTGGTCTACCAAGAGACTCAGGAGCAGCTTTTCCATTAGCAAATGTATCAAATAATTGTTTAAGGTTTAACGAAGCTGAAGCACCTCCATAATAATCGTTCTTATCAAGATGGAATACTTTTTTTCCATCAACTGAAAGAAGTCCTGAAAGAATACATTCTTTTAATCCAGTTCCAAGTACGATAGTATCATAAGTATCATCCATGGTTAACTAATTAATGTTCTTATTAGTTCTTAGTTCTTATATTTATAGTTCATCTAATTATTAGTTTTGTAAGTTTTATAGTAAGAAAAACTATTTTCTAGACCTTCTCGAATGTTTTATATTTATTATTACTTTAATAAAAAAAATAAATAATAGTTTGGTAATTCTAGTCTGTCTTCTTTATTTCTTTTTGTATTTTGATTATTTTTTCAAAATATAACGTATTGTTATTGCTTTTCTCTAACTTACGAAACTTTAGAATACATAATGTGTTATGCCATAACACCAAATTTTATTGTTTTCTCTTTTACAGTTTATTACATGTTTATTTCATAAATAATAAATAAAAACAATATAACCTTTAAAGTCACAGTTGAAGCAAAATGTATTGTTCAATAAAAAATTTATTGTTTTGTCATTAAACTGAGTTATTGTTATAACACAACCCTTTACTTTACATTTTTGAAAATAACCGCACACACAAAAATTAAAAGTATTCAATTCATTGCAGCAACCTTTTTTAATTTTCTTGGTTGATTTTGTTCTGACTGTCTTCAAGCACAACACCACTTTCAAGTACTCATTCTCTTTGGTTGTTAGTAAAAGTAAAATTGACATTATAACTGTTTCAATAAATTTTATTATAGAAGAAAAAACTCACAATAGAAAGATTAAGAAAAATTAAAAAAAGTGTGCGATAATTTTTCTTTATTTATGAGGTAAGGGATTGGTGATAAGTTTCCTGATACTTGAGTTTTTAGATTATGAACGCTTCAAAATGTTCGTTGTAATAAAAAAAATTATTGTGTCTGTTGCCTAATCTTCTTACAAATTTTAAATAAGAGTATAACATAACTCAATATCTAATAACCAAAGAAATTTAAAAATTCTATTAAATAAAGCACAACTTACCAACAGTAAAAAGAAATCATTTTATATGACTTTTGTAATAGTTAATAGTTTTATTTACCTGTTATCATTGAAAATTAAAGTTATATAAAACATTTATTATCATATATAAATCAAAGTAGTAAATTCTTATATTATACTATCAATTAGTATATTAAAAATATTTTGCTACTAAGTATCCTTACAACTAAATCTTCTTAGTATAGAAAAATGACTATTTTAGTTTCTTTAATACACTTATTTCTTTTTTATTTTTGATTAATAACACTTTAAGTATAATACAAAAATGTTCTACATTGTTAAATCTTTATTTCATAAAAATATTATAGAATATTTTTTTATAACTTAGAAGCATATCAGATTTTGCTAAAGATCTATCAATACTATAATGTTCTAGTTAACTCTCTTATTATTTCTCTCAAAAATAGAGCCAACAATGTTTAATTATTTTTTCTTATTAAGAATATCTGAATAATACCTGTAAACATAAAATAAACAAGTTTATTTACCTGAAATAAAGTAATTTAATTACTTTGTTTACTTTTTTGAGGTAACAAATGATTATATGAAGAGTTTAACATTATTAAATTAAACATATTTAATGTTCATTTCCATTATAATTATTTATTCTCCTTTCCAATTTAGTGAAATAGTTTAAATGACAAATAATCAATATTTTTAACTTAAAATCTTTTTGATATTTATTAAAGTCAATTAATTACTAAAAATAGAAGAACTATATAAAACGCTTTGTACTCATTATATTTTCAATGAGGGCATATATTTTTTTTCTTGGTTAGTTTAAATTTTAATACAATAACTCTAGTTTTGACAAAGCACATAACTCCATCTATGATAAATCTTTTTTCAGAATAACAATGTTTATAACAAAAACAAATAGAAAATCCAAACATATACAACGAATTCTTTTGTTTAAGAAAAGAATGAATACACTCATTTATAACGTAACGATAAATGTGATTTTAATACAATTTTCATTAAATTATGAAATAAATTATTTTTAAAATACTGTTATGTATAACATAAAGATAGAAATAAATAAAAAGATATAATAAAAAGAAACTAAATATGAAAGAAAAATTAGAAAAACCCTAGAACTATTTTTTTTGCACACAACAACCAATGGCCGTCAGAGTAACTTATGTAAGAAAACATTCATACAACACCAAATCTAATGGAATTAGAATTGTTAAAACTGCTGGAGGAAATATGACTGTTCAACACAGACAAAAAATCTCTAATGGAGTTAGATGTGGTGATTGTGGATGTGTCCTTGCCGGTATCAGACACATTAGACCACATCAATACGGATGGTTGGGAAAGAGCAAGAGAACTGTCACTCGTGCATATGGAGGAGTTAGATGCCATAAATGTGTTCAAAAGAAAATTCTCAGAGCTTTCTTGATCAATGAACATAATTTGATCAAATTAGCTGCTGCTAAGACCAATCTTGAAAAGAAACAAAGTGTTAAAGAAGATAAGAAGAAAGCTACTAAGACAGTCAAGAAGGCTGACAAGAAGACCCAAAAGAAATAAAGTAATTCATAATAATGGGTGTATTTTTTCTTCTTTATTTTTTTTATTATAAAATAATAAAAAAATATTATACTTTTTTATTTTTAATTAATAACACAAAATAAAAGAAAAAACAAATAATTTATGTTTCATGATTATTCTGAACAGGGTTTTCTTATTTGAGATAGGAACTTAATATTTTGTTTTCCAAGCAAAAAAACATGGGAAGCTACTCTATTTACAACGCTCATCCAAGAAACTATGGAAATGGTTCAAGAACTTGTAGAAAATGTGGAGCCCGTAAAGGTCTTATTAGAAAATATGGACTTGATTTATGCAGAAGATGTTTCAGAGAAAAGGCTGTTGAAATTGGATTCCAAAAACTTGATTAAGTTAAATTAATTGATGAGTTTGATTTAGAAAATAAATGTACTAATTTAATTTTTTTATTTAATGAAAAAAAGAATATTAAATAATTATTTTAAATTTATTTATTTGTTTTTATTCTAAGACTCTTCTTCGTTTTCTTCTTCTTCTTCTTTAGTTATGAGACGATCATCTGATGAAGAATTATTTTGATTTTTCTTAAGTTCATTGAGTTTTGATTTTACGTAATAAGTTATTCCAATAATTAAACTTACCGATATGACTGTTGTAATAATCATCATTACCAAAGCTCCTCCAGACATTCCATCTATTTATGTTAAAATTTTCATTTCATGTAAAAAAAATATAATAACAAAACTTGAAGAAAATACTTCAGTAATATTTGTCATTGATGCAGAGAAATAAACAACAACAAAATTACATGGAATTAATCCAATCAAAGTCCCAATAGCATATTGTGTAAAATCAACAACTGGTGGAAGGATATAATTAATAATAGGAAATGGAAATACTGGTGAAACACGAAGGAGTGTAATAAAAATTGCACCATTTTCTTTTACAATAAGTTGCATCAATTTTAAATTTTCGTTCTTGTTGATATATTCATTTATCGTTTCTAATACAACAAACCGAGTTATATAGAAAACAATAATTGCTCCAATTGTACATCCTATAGTACTTACTATTGTACCTAATACTGTTCCAAACATAATTCCAGCGACAATAGTAATTGGTGTTGTAGGAATCATAAAAGGAACAGCAATAATATGTAGTATTGTTATAATAAAACTTGATGTGATGATATCTAAATTTTGAATTGCTTTAAATATTGACATTAATACTTTTGGAATAGGAGAATCAGGAAGCAGAGATAATAAAAATATACTTCCAATTATTATAGCAAAAATAATAACAATATATTTTTTAATTCTACTTAAACTCTCTGTTGAAAAAGACATATTTTTTTATAAAGAAGTTCTTTTTTTAAATTCTTAAATAAAAAACATAAAAAATAAAAAAAAAATAAATTGAAAAAACAAATTCAAGTCAAACAAATATAATATTGGGTGAAATTTAATTGTCCTTTCTTTCTTTTTTTCCTTTTCTACCCATAACTATTTCATAAAATGTAGTTTTTCTTGTCCTCCCTCGCTTTTTAGGAACTTCTTCTTTTACAGATGGTAATAAACAATCAACTTCTTTTTTTGGTTTTTCTTTAATTTTTAATTCTGGGAGAACTCGAGTAACAGTAGGTAATCCTTTTTTTTGAAGAATAGAGTTCAACGTATTTAACAATTGTTCATTTTTAGCTCTTTTATTTTGTAATTGACATTCATAACTTTGATATTCATTTTGAATTTGTTGTAATAGTCTACGTTGTTCATTACTTGCTTTAATGTTATGTTCCATTTGTCTGTTATAATACAGACAATATTTATTGATACTCTCAATAACAGAATGGAAAATATGATAATCATCTAATACATAATGTTCAACATTAATAATATTCAATAACTTATCAGATACTCTTGGTGGTAATGAATCGATAATTAATTGTATATTTTCTTTAATCATTTTTATTAATTCTTTGTGAAGAGAATTTTGTTTAGAAACTGTTTGTGGTTGGTCTTCATAAAAATTTTCATTAATTAATTGTTTAAGTAATTCTGGTGTTGGGTCATTTAACTGTTGTTTAATAGCATAAATATAAGCAAAGGAATTTTCTTTTGTAAATTGATGAATACTATTAATTGTTTCTTTTATAAAAGAGAATTTATGAATATTTGATAAATAGATATTTTTTTCTGTAGAATAATAAATAATAGAAGGATTGTCTAATATGGGTGCAACAGTAATTTGAAAAAGAAGAACAGACATAAATCCATTTGTTACATTATTATACGGTGTTAATCTATTAATTATTTTTTGTATTAATACATTGAAATGAGGGGGTAAATATTGAACCTCTTTTAATATATTTCTATTTAATAAATCAATGATTTGAATTAATAAATCTAATGAATGTTTAAAATTATCTGTTGTTTGTTTAGTTTCATCTTCATTCGTTTCATTATTTGTTCCTTGAAATAAAGAAATATTGAGGGTACTACTGACAATTAAATCTAACACAGGAGTTAACACATGTTTTAAATAGTCCATAAGAAATAATTTACTGTATTCATTATAAAAAGTGATAAACAATGACAATTTACTTTGTAATGGAAAATACTTGGTTTCTGGTGCTAAAAAAATAAATATATTTCTTTATAATGTCAACAACTCACAAACGATTTTCTGTTAACTCTTTTTCAAACATCCATAATAATAACTCTAAAACTTTTCCATGTGCATAATAATATTGTAATATTAGACTAGCATTACTTCCAGACTTACTTACATTACGATAAATTAGCTTAAGGCATTAGTCTTCATTTATTTATTATTTATTCTAAACTCTATTTCAGAAATTCAACATATAAACAAACAGTCTGTGAGAGCACCTCTAATAAGATGTGGTTATTAGAAAATAACATTTCATCAAATTCTAGTTTTTCAGTAAACGAATAAGAGGTGTCTTCACTGGCACTCATTGAAATGTTTTGAAAGTTCAAATAAAATATCCTTCCATTTTTTCCGATCTTCTTTCATCATTCAATTATTGGAAAATATTTGAAACGTTTTATTATTGGTGAATGTTCTAAAAATAAATGTTTGTATGATTTATCGAATCATATTTTCTGTATTAGAATAATTATCTTTTGTTAGTAATTTATTTATTAAAAGTGTAAGAAAATAAATTGTCATTTCACTCTAAAATCTGATCGTCATGTCATCTTCATATTGTTTTCATATCTAAACAATAAGAAAAGACCTACCTCTTTTATCTCTATGAGACAACAAAAAAGGCTCTCTCAAAATTTGAATTTAACTGTGAGTATTTTCAACAGAAAACTCAATAATTCATTTCACATCAAATGGAGGAAGAGACACGCCTTGTCCGTTGCCTTTTATGTAAAGAAATCCAAGACGCTTTTGTTCAATTAGTTAAAACAATTTCAAAGATAAGTCCAGACCTTCGTTGGATTTGGAGAACAAACACATTTGAAATGAAAGCAACAACTTTAAAATCAACTGCTTTTCTTGAATACCTTTTTAAACCCGTCTCATTCAAAGAATTCAATGGACCATCCGAAGATAACATTATTTTTGTTAATTCTAAACGAGTTTTATCTGCATGTACAATGTTTGATAAAGCTGAAAGTGTAGAGATGGTATTACAACAAACCAAATTAGTATTCAACATTATCATAAACCAAAACACATCTATATCACGGACTATTCAACTAGATGAGCAAGAAGAAAGTATGGATAGAGAACCAACTTATCAAAACCATGCTCAGGTTAAAGGATCTGCACTAGTGTTTTGTAGTGCATTTAGCTCTTTTCCAAGAGACACAGAATTTATAAGTATTCTCATTAACGAAAATCAAGTAGAATTTCACTCTTACAACAAAACTAAATTAAACGAAAAAAGAATAAATTCTCATGTGATAGCAACTGCAGATAAATTTGAAGGAATCAAATTCCCAACTCCAAACGGAATTGGAGATGTTGCAAAAGTTACAGTCCAATTTAAAGACTATAAACACATCATGAATCTTGCAAAAGTTCTAAGTACATCTCCTAATCTTCGTGTAAAAAGTGTTGAGGATGAAGGTTATATTGATTTTAACTACTTTAATTATATCTCTATTAGATTTACTATGGCTGGATTAATAGAAGAAGACGATACTACTACTCAAACAACATCAGGAACAACAACAAATACAAATGACCACCAACGAAGAAGGTATGTTGAAGACGAACCAGTATCAGAAGTTTCGCTTAGCAATATTGCAAGAAGTATGGTTTAGAACTTAATCAAAATTATCATATATTTATCATTAATGTCGTTTCATTTTCTTAATCAGTGAATAAAAAATACATAAAAATTATTTGATTAAGTTGTTATTGATTATATTTGAAAACAACCAATATATTAAACAACATTCATTTTGTACAATGGTTACATTATTTTTTTGATAAATATCTGGTAAATATTATAAAAACAAGAAAGTTTATTTGATAAAATGTAAGTAATACTCATAGTATATGAGCTATAACAGGACGACAACACTCTCTTTGTGCTGTACATCATTTTAGTTAACCTCAATGATTTGTGTTTACGTTAAATAATACTCAAACATTAGTTATACTCAACTCTATGTTGATTTTTATTAGAATTAATGTATATAATTTGAATTAATTTAATTATGATGTCTTATCAAGAGTTTAAGTTTTATACTCTAATGACTTATATTTGATTATTAATGTTATTTTGCATAAATCAGAGCCAAACTATATGCAATAAAAAAGTAAAGATAAATTAATAAAAAGTTGAAAGAATGATAGAAAGATAAAAATAAAGATAAAGATAAAAGAAAGAGGAAGAATAAAAAATAGATTAAAGTAATAAATATAAAATATAAATAAGATGATAAAGAAGTTTTTAAATTTCAAAATAATAAGATAAATATTTAATTTTAGAATGATGAAATAAAACAATAAAAGTAATAGAAAGAGAATAAATGAGAGTTAATAATAAATAATGGAAAGAAGAAAGAATAAATTAATAAATTAAAATGGAATGAATAATGATATAACATATCAAAAAGATTAATTTAATAAATAATATATAAATAATATAATTAATAATGATATATTTTATTTTTTATGAACTGAATATAATAATAAATGAAAATAAAATGAATGAACTTTAACCAATAAATTTAATAACATATTTCAAAGAGTCATAGATAAAATAATAATCATAAACATTATAAAGAAATGAACAAAATAAGAAAATAAATAATAATGAAATAAAAATGTTATAATGAGAATAAAATGAAAAGAAATAAATGAAAAGAGAAATAAAGAAAGAATAAAAAATCAAAAATAGTTAAATTGAAAAGAAATAATATAAGAAAAGATAAAGAATAAAAATTAATAAATTTAGGTTCAGTAGTTCTTCATTTATATATTTTACTTTGCTCATTTGAGATTACATCATTCACTCTCTTCAAATTCATATTATAATGTCTTCTATATCTCCATATTCATGTCTATAGTCTCCACAATATTTTATTTTATGTCTTTCATGTCTTTAATTATTATATCTTTTATTATTATTTCAGATGCAATTATTATTCCTTGTTCTTTTAGTATTCTTACTGATTCTTTATTGATTAACTCATTTATATTATTAGTATTGGAATTACTTTAATTTTATTTATTAATTTGTCTTATTTTCTCTTGAAGAGTTCTATACATTTCAAGTTTGTTAGTAAATATCAGACTTATCTTTTTATCAAAGATTATTGTTACATAAATTCTTATTCATATTTATTTTATCTTCTATATAAATTTCTTGTCTTTTATGAAATATTCACTTTTATTAATTATTTCTTGATTCAATAAAATGAATACTTCATTATTTTATATTCTTATTTTGAATTTACCAATTTCATTTTTATTGAATACTAATTTCATTTTATTCTCTTTTATTTTATTCTCA